CCTAAACCCTAAACCCTATAGCCTATACCCTAAACCCCTGAACCCCGAAACCCTAAACCACGAAAACACGAATCCCTGCATCCTCGAGCCTGCGACCCCAACCCCATCCTACGTGGCAATGGGCATAGTTGTCGTAATCACGAAGTTGATGTGGCAGCTTCAGAAAATCAGGGATCCAGATATGGGTAGTTCTCTAAACTAGGGTCCGTTTTGGGGTGCTTTTTATAAGGGTGCCGTACTATACTGGGGACTTAAAACGGGACCCTAATTTAGAGAACTGTGCAGATACCCCCAATGTAATCGGTTCCGGGATATAAGGACCCCTCAACAATGTACCCCTGTGTTTGAAGAACCCACTAAGCTTCTGAATAGCTACCATATAAACGTGAACAACTACGTTCCTTGTTGTATTCGTGCCATGCCCCGAAATCCTCTTCGAGTCAATAAGGCCCCTATAGCTAGTCTTACGCGGTTTAGGGTTTAGGGTTTAGGGTTTAGGGTTTAGGGTTTAGGGTTTAGGGTTTAGGGTTTTTTACGGACTTATGCCATAACTACCACCCTCTAAGACTGAAAAACCCTAACGTCTAAACCCTACCTAGACCCCAAAGAACCTACTTGACTAAGGACTTATATAAACAAAGCATAAAAAGAAACCCCAAACCTGAAAGCCTAAACCCAAAAACCCTAAACCCTAAAACCCTAAACGCGAAACCCTAAACCCTAAACCCTAAACGCTAAGCCGTAAAACCCTGAAGCCCCAAAGCGGAAGGGCCTCAACCATCTGAGACCGCTCAGGTACGCCTCATGAAATCTTCGCAGGCAGCACCCGAAACCCCAAACCCTAACCTTAAGCCCTCCAAAGGAATCCTAATACAGAAGCCTAAAGAATTACCTCTAGTATTTTGGGGGTTCCTTATGATAACTATAGTATAATCTACCCCAAAAACCCTATTCTAATTATTCGGACCCCTGCATTATCCCAATGTTACCCTAAACCCTAAACCCTAAACCCACTGTAACCGACCCCCAGGTTCCTCCTGAACGTCCTGGTCGCCCGCCTCGCCTCTCCCGATGCCTACGGCGTCGGCTACGTCTCGCTCCAGCAGAGACCTCGGGCTAAGGGTTCCTTTCAGGCTTGAAGTTTTAGGGTCTGGGGTTTAGGGTTTAGGGTCTAGGCCTAGGGTTTAAGGTTTAGGGTTTGGCGTTTCGGGCTAAGGGTTCCTTTCAGGCTTGAGGGTTTAGGGTCTAGGGTTTAGGGTGTTCTCCACAAATTGACAAAGCCCTAAACTGCTAAACCTTAAACCTTAGACCACACACACACACATCCGTCTATCTCTCTCTCTATATATATATATACACATGTGTACATATATATATAAATACAGAAGTTTATCTACACAGAAAATATACAAGTGTATATTTAGATATATGGATATGGATATGTATGTATGTACATATGTATGTATGTATGTATGTACGTATGTATGTATGTATGTATGTATGTATGTACGTACGTATGTATGTACGTATGAATGTATGTAGTCTATATGTAGCATATGTGTATTGTACATGTATATATGTAGTATATATGTAGTATGTATGCAGTATGTACGTAGTATATGCGTATATATGTATATAGGTTTTTGTTTTGCGTGTGTGTATGTCTGTCTGTCAGTTTGCATGTGTGTATGTATGTATGTATGTATGTCTGTATGTCCTGTATGTCCTGTATGTCTGCATGTTTGTCTGTATGCATGTATGCATGTATGTATGTATGTATGTATGTATGTATGCATGCATGTATTCATATGTGCATGTATGCATGTATGTATGAACGCATGTTTGTACGCATGTATGCAATCATGTACGTATGTATGCTATGTTATGTTATGTTATGTTATGTTATGTTATGTTATGTTATTTTATGTTATGTTATGTTATGTTATGTTATGTTATGTTATGTTATGTTATGTTATGTTATGTTATGTTATGCTCTGCTATGCTATGCTATGTTATGTTATGTTATGTTGTGTTATGTTATGTTATGCTATGCTATGCTATGCTATGCTATGCTATGCTATGTTATGTTATGTTATGTTATGTTATGTTATGTTATGTCATGTTATGTTATGTTATGGTATGGTATGGTATGGTATGGTATGGTATGTTATGGTATGGTATGGTATGTTATGTAATGTTAGGTTATGGTATGTTATGTTATGTTATGGTATGTTATGTTATGTTATGTTTTGCTATGTTATGTTATGTATGTTATGTATGTTATGTATGCATGTGTGTATGTATGT